CAAGGATATGTGCAAATGTAAAATGTATTATTATATGTCACAGAATGATCTTTTTATTGCGTATAGTCACTGTTTAGTCCAACGAGGTTACACCGCAAATGAGACAACACCTCAAAAAGGAAATTAGAGAGAAATGTGTTACGAGTATGAATGTGAAATGAGTATGTGCTACCTTCTTATCAGCTCCAGGGCTGCTCTGTGGACTCTGAAGAACAGGGCTGGCAGCTGTAGGGCTGACTGCAGACTCTTTAGGCATTAAGGAACCCATGTAGACACTGTAGTCCAGCAGAGGCTTGGTTTTGGCACTGCCCACTGTTGTGGAAGAGACTGATGAGTCTTTTGACTTGGTCTGAGATGTCAGGGCTTCATCCAGACTGCTGCGGCTGCTGTTGCGACTGTGACAGCTCAAAGCTGTGGGTCACAGCAAAAGTAACAAAGAGTTGATGAATTCCTGCTATAAGAGCATAACTATATTGTAAGAATAAATGACTTCCGGCCCTTTTAGCCCTTACTCACCCTTCTTAAGTCCTACAACACTGGAACTTTTCTTCAAGCCCACCTTTAGCTTAGAGGCTGACAGAAACCGCTGGAACCACTCCTCCTTATCCCTGCCAGTCCTTCCAAATAGGTAGAGTGTCAGAATGGAAGAAGATGATGATGATGATGATCTCCGCTCTTGGAATGCCCCCGTTCCCTCTCCTCGCTCCCGTGTGCCCTCACTGGCCTCCATTCTTTCACCTTCTGCCTTTGACATGAAGTCATCCTGCCTGCCAAGTTCAATGCAGATAGGGTATTTTTTGTTCCAGACTCGCTTCCTGGCGAGACCCTGAGGCACGAGATACACCTGAGGGAAGAGTTTGGTTAACAAAAAAAGATAATAGCCAAACTGAAAAGTTTAACTTCTTTAAATTTCTTTTGGTAACAATTTCAAAATTTATAAAAGACTTATGGTACATTAAAAAAAAAAGTTAAGCTGGAAGAATGTATAAATTCTGTTCTAATGTATGCATGTAACTACTTACTTTGCTGTATGTAAGATCATAAATCTTCTGACTGATGTAGTTAACATCAGGTTTTGGTTCATTGTGCGAGGCACGGCGGGCGATGTTGTGGTTGGGCTTAGACAGTCGAATGATGGATCCCTCCAATCGGACAAAGACGGACTGCGTCAGTGTGGCATGATACGTCTCTGGGTCGTAGTTCTGTATCTCATTCATCCAACCCTGCAAAGATATACTGATTTTACGTGGAGTTGATTATGTTTAAGGAATGTGTTGCAAAATAGTTTTACTAGAAAAGCTATTGCTATCCTCACACACTGTATATTCTTTCCAGAATTCAAACAAGAAAAACCTTTTTGGAAGAGCCACAAACACAGAGACAAAATCAATCACTGTACCTGGAAAATGGAGTAAACTCTACACTTATGTAACATATTTCTACAGTGATTGAAAAGGTCACCCAAGTATCTCCATGAACCATGTGTTCTAACCACCAACTGAAAGTACAAAAGGCTTGTTGTATTCAAAGGCTTTTAAATTGATCTGGATATAGTTCTCCTAGGATCCTTCTCTACGTTTATTTGCTGCTTTTTTGCTTTGTTGTTGAGAAGAAGAAAAAAAGATTTTAAATCGCACAGCTGTTGTAACTATGTACAAATCTTTCCTGAAGGAAAGAAAATGTGTTGATAAATGTAGATTATGTGATTTGAAGTTTGTCTGAAACAAGCCATGTTGGCTCCTCTCTGTTAAAAGCGTTTCACTGACCTTGTAGATATCTGGTTCCTTAATGTCCAACTTGGTCACATTGAGCAGCTTTCCATGCCGTCTAGGTCCCATGTTCTTCCCTCCAGAACGTTTTGGTCCTGCCAGCCACACAAAACCAATGGCTAAAAGGAATCCCAGCTCAATCCCAAGCAGCACTCCTCCAATATAACTAGGCAGAGGCAATATAAAACACCCATAGAGGAGTAGAGTAAGGATGAGGAGAGTATAGTATGGAACACTAGGTGGGGGCTCAATATATTCAGATTCATCCTCGCTGCAGGGTTCAGTACTACCACTTAGTGGCACTTTAGTTAGACTACCGGTTCCAGTATTATCAGTTTTATCAACACTTTCACCTTCTGTGTCTGTAAAAGTCTCAAATTCCTCATTGGACAGAATGCAATAGTCCTCTTCTGCCTGCTTTGCTAGAGCAGACATGTAAAGCAAAGATGATTTGCTGGGACTTTTAGTGGCAAAGGCAGTGCTCAGCGGGGATTCTGCTGCAGCAGAGGCCTGTCTGCTCGGGCTTTCACCCTCCCAGTCAGTTCCTTCTTCCTCCTTAATGCAGTAATTATTGTTAGTCTCCATTGGACCATTGATAGAACCAAGACTTGACAGTTCTGTGGCACTGGCAGAAAGTACCTTGGGCCGGTAAATGCTGCTTCCAACTAAGTTGCCACTCTTTTCATCCATGATCTTACTCAACAGCTGAAGCGGTTCAGAAATTGCCTCCGATAGACGACGCTTGGTGTCTTCGATTCGTGCCTCCACTTCTGAGACTTTGAAGAAGCTGCGGTTATCTGGGGATGTCAACGGTGAGGAGGGGGCAGTTTTAGAATCACTAGCTGACGACATGGCAGCAGATGATAACCGGGACTGAGCAAATTGCTTAAAGAGTTGCAGGTTAAGGCGGGATTCTGGAAGACGGTAGGATGCTGATGAAGAGGACAAATCCTGGGATGTGTCTGAAGACAAAGATTTAACGAGAGTCTTCATGAGATGCGTGTGCCTTAGTGATGGTGTGGGAATAGAGGAAACCCCATCACGTGACTCGGCATCAGAGGAGATGGACTTCGCTAGGCTTAGAAAAGGTTTGTCACTGGAGGGAAAGCTCAAAGATTTTGTAGGAGAGGAGTTTGAAGTTGAGGCTGAGGACAGAGTCTGAGTGGTAGAATTGATAGTGTGATGTCTTGAAGGGGAAGAAAGTCTGGATGTTTCAGGAATAACACCAGCTCCAGCTGCAGAGGCTGATGGCACCCCATCAAACATCTCCTCACTTGCTTCTAAGGCTGTCACGATATCTGAGTCATACATGGCAGCTGAGGGAGTGGAGACAGTTGTACAGTATAGCTCTTCTTCCTCCTCCTCTTCCTCCTTCCCAAGGGCTGAGAAGTGGATGGCAATGTTCTCCTTTGACAGAGGCCGCTGGACATGGAGCCTGGGTGTGAAGGCAGGTGGCTGTTTATCCGTGGAGTGAGTACTCTCTCCATGGCCAGGATGCCGGCTGGTCATCTCAATACTCCCACTGAAAAGAAGGTAGAGAGATTTCACTACACTACAG